AAAATAAAATAATTTATTTTTATTGAGCTAAAAAAGGTTGACTTAGTTTAAAAAAAAGCAAATACTATCTCATGCAATTATTATTCCCTTCTAAGAATGACCAAAAGGAGCCCTAGTGGTGCGGTGGTAAAGTACTCGGCTGCTAGCTGAAAGGTCACTGATTGGAACCCACCAGCTGCTCCGCAGGAGAAAGATGTGGCAGTCTGATTCCATAGAGATTACAGCCTTGGAAACTCCATGGCGCAGCTCTACTCTGTCCTATGCGATTGCTATGAGTCTGAATCGACTCGGCAGCAATGGGTAATGGGTTTCTAAGAACGACCAACTGCTTACGTATTTACTCCCACGTAGTTTACGGAAACTATGAATTTGCTTGACTTAGAGACTAAATAGAGTGGAATGAGAGGAAAGAGTCTAATGTGACTTGGTGACTAAGTGGATGGTGCTACCAGGGCAGAGAACACAGGGGAAAGATAGGTCTGAGGTGGTGGGGAGCAGGGAAGAATGATTTATTTCAAATTATCATGGGCCTAATGTTTATCTTTCGAATCTACCAGCTGCTCCTTGGAAACCCTATGGGGCAGTTCTACTCTGTCCTATATGGTCTCTATAAGTTAGAATCGACTCAATGACAACCGATTTGGGTTTTTTTGTTTGTGGTTCTTTTTTTGTTTGTTTATGCTTTCTATATATTGTCCAAGGAATTCCTATAAAATTTAAATTGTATATAAAGTATATAACAACTCTCCTGTACCATACATTTACTGTAAAGATTATTACGGCTGGTATATTTGTTTATTTAATTAGCAGAAATTTCTTGATTTTCTTGGGTTAAGTGCTTGGCTGCTAACAAAAAGGTCGGTGATTTGAGTCCATCCAGAGTCGCCTCAGAAGAAAGGCCCCGTGATCTACCTCCAAGAAATCAGCCATTGATACAAACTGACCTCTAAGCACTGCCTTTGCTCTGTCCCAGATAAAAATCAGCCACTGAAAACTCTACGGAGCACGGTTCTACTCTGACACACGTGGGGTCACTATCAGTTGAAGTTGACTCTACGGCAACTGTGCTTTTTTTACGGTAAGGAGGGAAGGGGGAATATTCAGACATGCCAAATCCTTTTACAAAGCTGAACAGGAAAATTCAAGTTTCCTTTTCCTCTCCAAATAGTTCCCTGCAGCAAGCTGATATATGCAAAATCATTCCACTGATTAAAGAACACTGAGAGGTTCTTTTAAAAATAACCTAAACCTGACGGCACAGGAGAAAAGGGGGGCACAGAACTCAAACTCTAGTAAAAAGACCAGACTTAATGGTCTGAGACTGGAGGAACCCCAGAAGACATGGCCCCCCAGACTCTCTGTTCACCCAGAATTCAAACCATCCCCGAAGCTAACTCTTTAGACAAACATTAGACTGGACTATCAGACATAAAATGATACTTGTGAAGAGTGTGCTTCTTAGTTCAAGTAGATACATGAGACTAAGTGGGCAGCTCCTGTCTGGAAGCAAGATGAGAAGGCAGAAAGGGACAGGAGCTGGTTGAATGGACACAGGAAGTCCACGGTGGAAAGGAGTGTGCTGTCACATTATAGGGAGAGCAACTAGGGTCACAGAACAATGTGTGTACAAATGTTTGTATGAGAAAATAACTTGAGCTGTAAACTTTCACCTAAAGCACAATAAATAAATAACCTGAAGATGAGACTTACCTTCATTAGGAAATTGTTGTCTTATCAAAAAGTAAGTAAACACATCAAAGGGTGAAACATACACCTTTATTATGAATGTTAATACAGCACCAACACAAATTATGCATCGTTTCTTCCCCTGCCACTAGTTATAAGAAAAAAGAGTTTAGCAAATCTAAACCTGCAGAAAATCGAAAAATAAGAAATGTACTTCTGAGGCAGTCAAGTCTGAAACTTCTATCTGCAGCTGTTTACAAGGAATTTTATAATTTATTTATGTATGGGTAAATATGTCTTTAGCTTCATTAGTCATTTCTCATTATATTCTGTGACCAAAAAAAGAATATATATATATATATATATATGCTCTTCTCTTTGTTGATTACAGATAAGGTATGGCCTGGTGGGGTCACAAGTTTCCTGAAGGGACTGAACAACTAAAGGGAAGAACCAGAAGTGGGACACTGGGCCTTGGAGCTGTCTAATGAGCCATTCTGCCTCCCACTGCTAGCTTCTCAGAGCTCTATGTAAGACTAATAAACTGAACCCAACAAAATCAAAATGCACACAAATCTAATTTGGTAACTAACACCCCAAGGATATGCAATCTGCTCCTGACCAGGACTGGAGTACTCACTCTCTTTGCGAACTTCCTGGAGTGCAGCAGTAAGCTCTTCCTTTAAAACTGTGGCTTCCTGGGCAATCTTCTCTCCCTTGTCTAATAAATTCCAGGTTGCTTCCTCCACAGAAGCTAGAAGAACTCTGGCTCTTTTTGAACGTCCTTTTTTCCTGCTGGAAGGATTCTGGGGACAATTTACAAGTGTGGTGACCTAAAACAGGAAAAATACAAATCACTCCTTAGACAAATTGGGAGAACACAGTCCTGAGCTATGAGAGCCCAGAGCAAAAGGAAGTATTTCATAGTAACATCATTCATTCCCTGCACTGGTGGTGTACCCCCAAAAGTCAAGTCAAGGCACCAACAGAAACATCATCAGCCACCACTGAGTTCCCAACTAAAGATGAATGAAATGGATGGATGGAAGAAAGGGCCATAAAGGCTGAATCATGTCACATTTTACTATTAGAACAACGCTTCAAAAAACAGATGTATGTGTGTGTGTGTTCTTTTAATTATAGAAATTCCATATGGACAAAATATAGAACCTTGATGAAGCTGTCAAAAATGAGAAAAGTGGAAAACTTTATATCTCAAAAATATCAGAAAATTATAAAAACTGTATCACTTTGTAGCCAGTAATCCATATTAAGATGAAGGTAAAAAATAATAATTAATCAGGAAACATCAGGATATTTAAGTAGAGAATAGAGATTACTAGCATGGGGGAGGGGGGAAACACTCTTGATACATACAGAACAGTGGTTATCTTAGGGGAACTATTATGGATTAAATTTTGTCCCCAAAAGGACATGCTGAAGTCCTAACCCCCAGTACCTGGAGGTTCTTCAGAATGTGACATTGATTGGCAACAGGGTTCTTGAAGATGTTATCAGTTATCATGAGGTCATACTGGAATAGGATGGTCCTAATCCAATATGAGTGGTGTCCTTATAAAATAGGGGGAAACACAGAAAGACACAGAGAAGGACGATGTGAAGATGGAGGCAGAGATCAGAATGACCTACAAGCCAAGGCACATTAAGGATAGTTGGCCATCATCAGAAGCCAGGAGACAGCAATGAAACAGATTCTTCCTCAGAGCTCCTAGAAGGAATCAACATGGCTGATACCCTGATTTCAGACTCCTACCCTCCAGAACTGTGAGACAATAAATTTCTGTTCTTATAAATCACTCAGTCCGTAGTACTTTGTTACAGAAGCCCTAGGAAACCAATTCAGGGACGTACCTCAAATCCTCACTACGAACTGCATTCTAGCCCCATGTATCATCTCTGACCTAGCGCCATACACTCTTTCCTAACTCACTCAACCCCTCCAGCAAACGAGGCAAAAGGTTCTGGATCAAAGTCCCTTTCGAAAAAGGACTTCCCTGACCTCCCCATCTCCGTTCTCTCCCACCCTTTCCTGCTCTCTCCCCCCACCCTACTTTATTTTTCCTCAAAACATTTAAGGAGCCTGACATATTTTTTAATTTGTTTATATGTTTATTGCATACATCCAACAGTAAAATTTAAACTCCATGGAAGCAGGAAATATGTTTTGTTCTGCAGCACCAGAAACAATGTACAAAGCAGGTATTCGATAAATATTTGACATATAAATGGACTGATGGATGGGATAGTAGAAAAGAAGGTCATTTAATGTCTATATTCTGAATTGCATGAATCTATTAACTAAGAGCACTTTTGTAACTTTGTTTAAAATAAGCACAAACTTATGATAAGGGAATTGTCTGGAGATGAAAACTAAGCGTCTAAATTTAGAAACAATAACCTCATATCAAATTTCAAAAATACCAAAACCCACTGCCATCGAGTTAATTCCAACTCACAGCAACCCTACTGGACAGAGTAGAACTGCCCCATATGGTTTCCAAGGCTATAAATCTTTACGGAAGCAGACTGCCACATCTTTCTCCCACGGAGCAGCTGGTGGGTTAGAACTGTCAAACTTTTGGTTAGCAGCCTAGTGTTTTAACCACTGTGCCACCAGGGCTCCCTTCATAGCAAATTACATTGTGAAAAATATCCTTGTCTTAATTAAATCTCAGATGCCAATCTAACAAATTTTGGATAACATTTTTGCAAGCAAAGCTTGAAAATCCCTGTCTTAGAAGGAAAAAAACAATTTTTTATCCAGTCTTTAAAATTGAAGACTTGAAACTCCTACTGAACGCTAGCCTCCTACGTGTCATAGCAGAGGCTTATGACAAACACGTGCCACGTCTCTGACAACAAACTATAAACATAACCCTTCCTTCTCTGCAGACCTTAGGGATTTTGTTTATTGTTTATGGATCATTAGATATTTGTTTACTGGGACAAACGGACCCATTTTTTTTTTAGTTAGGAACAGAAATAACGTATAAGCCATAGGGGAAAATACATGGATGAAAATAATTTTTGTTTGCCCTCCTATCCTCCTCCCCCTTGTCTAACAGACCCTCTGTTTTATTTTAATTTGCTTTAGTCCTACGTTCATAAACCAGGGTGGAGTGTGCTTTGTGACAAGGCTTTATTTCTTCTCTTGGAAAATAAGAACATACTATCCCATAAGACTGTTGTGAAGGTTACATAGTATCAAATGTGTTGTAAAACGCCTAACATGACACAAATATTGGCTGGTACTTAATGTGTATTTTCTAGTCCATTCCCCTCATGGATACAGAAGACTGGTTATGAGATCTTTGTCAAAGCTGTTCACTCTAGGTCTAAATTTATCTCACTCTTGAGGCCCCCACAGTAAATGTGATGAAGGTACATTCTAAATGCTTTACAAGCAGCCAAACAGGATGCGCATCTTTGTCGTAGATTTTATAAGTATGATAATAAACCTGATTTATTATATGGGCTTTGACATACTCCAAAAGGTAAGGATCTCACCACTGTCCGTCTAATTTATATGTCGAGAGTTAAAAGATATTTGTACAGATTAAGACAAATAATAGCACCTAGTTTAAAACTTTTGTTTAAAATGAAGAAGAAGTACCGTTGTCTAAAATGTTCCCTCAGAATGTATTTTAAGTGCCACAATTCATGCCGCTTCCCACTGCACAATCCTACTCTATTGTACGAATCCTCCACGCGCCAAATGTTTCCCATAGAATAGCCTGGGCTTTGAAATTAAAATGAGCATTCCAGAAATGTTTTGTTCCTTATAATAAATGCCAGAGAAGTAATAAATATGAAAAGAACATTGTGTAAGAACATTGTGCTTCCATCCAAAATAAAAAAATTCAATTGCGACTTGTAAGTTTTCACTCGTAAGTTGTTTGTACCCCCATCTTCTTTTGAAATGCCCGATATAAGTATTTAAAATTCATCTAACTAAAGTCAAGGAACATTTTCAATGATTCCTCTTGTTTCTGAAAGTAAATATGGCTTGGCAATCAATCCTGTGTGGGTGGGGGAGAGAAGGGGAAGCTGAACCTTTTTTGTTTTTAATCCTGACTCACCCAAAAGATATAAAATACCCCCACCATTGACTATAACTCACTTCCGCAGGTGTTTCTCACCAAATGGGGTGCTATGTTACTTGAAAAAGTCTTCAGTGTCTTCAGGGAATGGCAGCAAATAGCAAAATCAGCTTTTAAGTTATTCTGTAAAATAATTCCTATTTTCTCGTGTTCTTTTTCTGTACAAAAGCAGTTATATTTTTAAAAGGAACAAAAAAATCCACAAAAACCTTAATTGGAATTTATACAAAGATGATCCTAATGTAGGGTCCAAGCTCATGTTTTACTAACTTTACTTTCTGCCAAAGGTACAACCCTCCTCTTCCCCTCTTTTCCAAGCCTTAGGGGTCCCTCTCATAGGGAAAATCTTCCACTCCATGCTTATACTTAGAGAGCTTTGCTTTGCTCACTTTTCTTTTGTCTGTAAATCTGTGCTAGGCTACAAAGACATACCTTCATCATAGATACAGGAGTGAGCTCCTCATTGAAATGGTCCTAAAATAGAGGCTTCAAGTAACATGAAAAGAAGAAATTCCTTACTTTATTAATTCTGCAAGTTTAAAATTCCATAAAACCAGAATATTTTAAATGGTGTGTAATATTTATATATTAAAATTGAGAGAAAAAAAAGTTTTTCTAATCTTTCCTAATTAAAGTATGCTTCTCAAGATGCTCCAAACACATTGAAAATTAAATTGACACGCACATGGAGTCCAGCTATCAATTATTTAGAGGAACCTTGGACCACAATAGGAACAACATAAGCTATGGCATGAGGTTGTGATTTTCTTCCATTTGCTGCAACCGTGCAACAACTGCATTAGCATCTCAGACACTAGCTCTGTGGAAAGTCTTCTCTGATGCCATTTACATTCTGTAACCATGCTCTTTCCCAAGCTTTTTTTTTTTTTCTGTTTGTTTGTTTTTTTACTTCTACCATGATTGTGGTAGAAAAAGGCCATGTTAACAGCTAACTCTTTTCTTGTTTATTAGCTAAAACACTTTGAATTTTAACCTTCCTCCCATAGCTCACAGGAGCTTTCAGGGCTACTTTTGCTTCCTTGAGTTAATTTTAATGTATGGAATAAAATATAAGACATTTAAGCCATGTTAATTAGCTAAGAACTTCAAGTAGGGTTCTGGAAGAAATTAGAGGGGGAAAAATAAAATTGTCTATAGATAAGTAAAACTAGTGATCAAAAGTAAAAGGTATCATATAGTTTTGGAGGCCCCTTCTTCAAGTCATTGATAATTTCAACTATGCCGTATTTCCTACAAAAAACAACCCTTACTGAGTTAAGAAAAGATTGAACCCAGCAAATACATACCTCTAGATTAACATTCAATAGTCCCCCAAATCCAACTACAATCTTCTTTGAGTTCATCTCAAGCCAATAAACATTTATTGAGCACGTATTATGCTCACAACAATACCCTAGGCATTTAGGAAATAAAGATGAGTCAGCTCCATATGGTGATAAGAGAAATATACAACTAGCTGCAATATAAGTGGCAGAATGATAACCGCTTACACTTACATAAGTACAAAGAAAGTGCTGAAGAGACTGCATACATTTACAAGGATTAAATGAAGCTTCCAAGAACAGTCTTTAAGGACGATAGTTTTCTATCAAGCGAGGCGAAGGTAAGCAAGCCAGGTGAAGGCAACCACGTGCAAAGGGGCCGCTATGGAAAGTTTGTTTGTTTTTGTTTTGTTTTGTTTTTCTGAGAGT